CAGATTCGAGAATGAGAATACATAATTAAACAACGTGGGATGGAATTAGCAGACGTCATTAAGCAACCTTTGCTAAGTAATGTAAGTTGTTTAAGTGCTACTTAAGCACTTTAATGTATTACGTAAAAAGAAATGTAGAAATTAACCTCTTATATAGCTTTCGCCCGCAACTCCGACCGTATGAATTTTAAAATAAACAAATGCCTATGTTTTCTTCAAGACTATGCTCTACATTATGACAAATCTCATCGAGATACATTCAGACGTTTAGTTACGAACGATAACAAATGTCTATTTATCTAAACTTTCGCATTTATAATATTAGTAAGATATACAAGAGAATAGGTAGAGGGGCCTATATAGTGGGACAATATGGACTTTTTTTTTAACGTGGGGAAATGCCTAACGCATACCACCCTTGCAGGGACAAGGGTGGTTATGTCGGCTTTGCGCCGACTAAAACCCCACGGTGGCCTCCAACTGCCATAATAAGGAGCCGCGGGATCTCCAAATGGAACACTACCGCCGCCCCTAATGACGCTTTGCAATTAATACTTGCTCTCCTACCATAGCTACCAGCCACTTCTCGGGGATGCACTATGGAGAAATCAGGGCGGGACAATATGGCCTAAAAAATGTATTTCCTAAGTATCAGTGATCACAAATACTTAATAATAATACCGATTCTTAAAAATGTGCACGCGAGCCTTGTAAAATCCAGGTGTTTTTATGTTTGTTAAGCTAGCGCTTGGCCATGATTACTTGGAGAAAGTGATGATGCAGTCGAAAGATGGTCTGCGCTAGCCTAATAGGTAGCTGTTTACTCTTCTTTTGAAGACCTCCACGTCATATTTGGACGGAAAAATTGACGCCGGAGCCTTCCAATCCCTTGCAGTACGCACAAGGAACGATGATTCAAACTACTTCGTTCGAACTCGCGGTACATCAACTAGTTTTCTTGTTTAACCTTGTCACGCAAAATATATTTTTATAGATGAAAGTTATTGTACAGAGCATTGAACAAGGCAGACATGTCAACGGAGATAACCCAACAAAAGTGGGGAGGTAATCTCCCGCGTAAATGTACGGAGGAGGTTATGTTCACACGAGGGTAGTAATGAAGCAGAGCAGTAGGTAGTGTAGTAGGCGCGCAATTGTTGTGCGATTGTCGATTGTTTCGTAGCCAATTCAACTGTTTAGTTGAACAACTAATTGAGTAGTGTGTGCACCTCCTAAGCTTATAAGAATCAAAGCGAAACCAATCAGTTGTGCGATTGTTTCTGGGGGACTTCCAACATCTATAGCTGCCCCTCCTTATCACCTTTGAAGACTGCATCACAAATCTAATATATATTGTTAGGAATAAAATTAGTACCGTGCTATAGAATGCGCAACTCTAGATTATCGGCATAAACGTCACGTCCCTAGCTGACAGCTGTCAATGTCATTAGAAGGATGGATATTGGCGCGCAACCTGGGTCTGGACGAGAAGTGTTGCTCTGAGTTTAAAGCGACAGTATCAATTAAATAAGTTATCTAAAATTATTAAGTCGATAACTTTGTATTTTCTCGCAAATTTTCCTGTGAAACTACTCTATCTGCATTGTGTGCTTAAACAGTTGCAGTACTGTTCTGTCTTACTGCTTATACTGTTTCACCCTCGTGTGAAACTAACATTATGTTTTGATTGAACTTGTAACCAGGCTATAACCGTTTTATACTATGTGAATAGCTGACACAAATTGCTTGTGTAATGTTTAGACAAGATAAGAAAATAGGGTGATATTAAATAAAAAAATGGCTGTAAAAATGTTATGGGAAAGTAAAATGTTTTCTTAAATACATAAGTAAGTTATGTTTTGTGTAGTAAAGTAGACGGTTAATGTAAATTGACTACTTATTGCAAATTAAAAAACGATTGAGAGATTTACGTAGAATGTAACATAACATTAGTTATTAATAAAAAAAAATTAATTAAAACGCTTTCTTTGTGGCCATTAACACAATGAAATATACACAAAGCAATGTCTATACCGTCAGGCAAAAGAACAATTAAAAGTTAATTTATTGCGTGTTCGTGACTCGCACAGTTAACAGACATGAAATAAAACAATTGATGTAAAGTATGATTTAATTTATTTACTAACTAGCTTTCGCCCTCGGCTCCTTCCGCATAGAATTAAAAAAACAAAAGTGAGTAGCCTATGTGTTCGTCCAGACTATCCTCTACGTCTATACCAAATTTCATCAACATCCGTTCAACAGTTTAGGCTACAAACTCTAACAAACATCCATCTAAACTTTCGCATTTATAATATGAATAAGTATGATTATTAATATAATTTATTGATTATTAAAATGTTTAGTTTCATTGTTATTTACAAAAAATTTAATTCCTAGTAATAAATACCAATCGACAAACAGTAACCGCCAGATGTCGCTACACAGCGTTGGCAGCGCCGCCAAATACTCCTTAATTGCAATTCCTTGTTCAAGGTTAACATATTGCATACGATTGTTATCAATTATAAGTCTTAACTGTGAACCTCTATTATATATAGCGTGGTATGGACATGTTATGCGACGAAATGATGGGGACATAAACCAGAAAGTGTTGAGATTGAATGTGGATGGCTACAAAGGAAGAGGAAGACCGAAGAAAGTGTGGACGGATTGTGTGAAAGAGGATATGCTTAAGAAAGGAGTAGATTCAGATATGACGGCTGATAGAGATGTATGGAAGAGCAGCACATACTGTGCCGACCCACCATAAGGGATAAGGGCAAGTGGATGATGAACTGTGAACCTCTTTTTAAAAAAGAACATAAATCAAAAAGTTTTAATAATATGGAGATAAGTTATTATCCGGAATAACAAGCTAACTACGTTTTTTCATTTCGCATAATACTCGCGGGCAAAAGTTAGTAATGATACAATACATTTTCCCGTAATATCGTCTGCGCGAAATTAAACAAAATCTTACTAAGTATTTGTTATTTCAGACTATATGTAGACAGATGTAACTCTCCATCAGTGCTTTTTATTAATATAAACAGTTTTTGAAATACGTAGTATCTAGTGACAACCATTTATCTCCTAAAACTTTTGCTTCTATAATATTAAAGTATGATAATGAATTATTTGTTTAATATACTTGTACACTTTGTATATTTTAATGCAGTAACCAGAAACTATATTTCACTGCGGAACTAGTTAGCAAGGCAAACTAGTTTTGTCTACGCTCTAAATCTTTGTCAAAGCACCTTAGCGCAACACCAGACTAAGTTTATATTCAAATTTTATAAATTTAAATATACCGCATAACGATTTTAAAGTGACGTAATAAAAAATCAAATAAGGATTCCATTGTCTTGAATATAAAAATGTCGACCTCATTTTCAAAGAAACAATATACAATTTTGTATGTACCAAGTGCTGTCTGTATACATCTCCAACAAGTGGTCAATGTCTAACAGAGAAGACGTGTAGAAAAGGGAATTTTCCCTTCCCCCGTAAAATGTTACTACAAAAAAAATATTTTTATGTAGAAACGTATGCAAATTGTAAGGGTGTTGCTACTTTATCTTTGGATATATAAACAGGGGTGTGTTGGGGTGATTTTGTATAAGTGCGGGCTTAACTCGCTATAATAATAAACATCTAATGAAACGCGAAGACCTTTTTTGGGATCAAATGAGTTTTTACAGGATCTAAAAAAGAGCTTTTAAAAAAAGAGCTAAGTTAGGTCGTTGAACTGTATTTATTTTTTACACTGTTTGTATTAAGTAGTCTTACTTAGTGTGTATTCAGAATATTTTTTGTTAGTTTATAAATGCAAAACTAATATTACAAATGCAAAAGTTTAGATAAATTAGATGTTTGTTAAAGTTTGTAGCCTAAACTACTGATCGTATCTCGATTAAATTTAGCATAGTTGTAGAGAATAGTCTGGAAGAACACATAGGCTATATTATTTTTGTTTTTCTTTCATTCCACGCGGACGGAGTCGCAGGCGAAAGGTAGTATAAAAGTAAATATTGACCTCAGAGTAAGTAGCAATATCTAAAACAAATAGAGGCCAATAACGGTATTGTTGTGATATAATATTTGTTTTCAACTAACGTGTTGATACATCCGTATTTGTCCGTACAATCTATAAAATGAAGATTAAATATTTGCCCAGAATAGCTATAACAAAGCTACAAACGCTCATTTCTGAAAGATTTACTGGTTTGATCAATTTTTCAGTTAAAATTGTGTTGGAAAAAAATTAAATGTTAGTTCTGTTTAGTTTTCAATTAGAGCTGAAAGTCTAACATCTTCAAGACATTAAAAAATCTTTTTTTTTTATTGTTTACTAGCTATCGCTCGCGACACCGTCCGCGTGGAATTAAAAAAAGTGAGTAGCCTGAGTGTTCTTCCAGACTATCCTCTACATCTAAACATCCATGTAAACATTCGCATTTATAATATTGGTTAGATATTTCGTAAAACTTTCATTTTTTCATTCAATGCTATATAAACACTAGCTGTTGCTAGCGACTTCGTCCGCGTACATTAAAAAATATAGCCTATGTTACAGATAAACTATATATCTAACGGTGAAAGATTTTTAAAATCGGTCCAGTAGTTTTTGAGTTATTTCAATACATAAAATAATACCAATCTTTCCTCTTTATATTAGTAAAGATTGTACATAATTTGAAAGAACACAAGCACAAGGACAGGCTGAAAACCAGCTCCGCATGGCTTAGGACATGCGGTCCACGCTGAGCCTGCAGCCCATTGTTGTCGATTTAACTTTTTTTTTATTTAGCTCATAAGAAACTGTTTTTGTGACAACAATAAAAGTATTTTTATTTATTTTTATTTATTTACTTACTAAGTACACTAAGACTACTTACTTACCGCGTACAGTATAAAAGTCTAAAAGCTAGTTTTTACATAGAAAAAAGCGAAATCAATGCTTTTTATTAGGATAAGAGATTGAAATAAAAGCATCGTCATAACAAACGTGATTTATTCTTATATCATTGTATACAATAATTTGACATTCAATAATTGACATAATTATTTAATTCATACGAGCAATATGAAAAAAATAACAGCGCGCGGCGACTTCCCTCTGCTTCCTTCTGCTTCCCTCTGCTGCACTCTGCTCTGTTCTCTATCACTCAGTCTGAAAACAAAACAAACATATAAAAACATACGAATTGAGTACCTCTCCTTTTCTGGGAAGTCAGTCAAAAATGATTGCTCTATTTGTCTATGCAAACCACTGACCTCTAAAAATGGACAGGCTACAAGCCATGGTATTTTATGCTTCATTTTGGTAAATGGAACTAATTATAGACCTAGAAATAACTATAAGTAACATCAACACGTTTAATTTGTGAACAATCAAAAGCTGTATCTTTAAAACTATGTCCTATCTATTTATAAAGATCAATGGTTTAATGATACGACTAGAAAATTAAATAGAATATCTTAAAACCATTGTTTTTTTTCCGTTTTTTATTAATTGAATTGTAATCTAACTTGTTCTATAATTCCAATCCTATCCGACATCTAAAGATTGTAACGATGTATCCACAGTTGTGGCGGACATCTTGGATTTTTATGTGTTTTTTAAGTCAAACCTTTTTATTTAATACTCATGTTGGAAAACTGTATCAAATACGTTCTGCATTTTTTATATTATAAGATGGCAAGCGAGCAAGCGGCTACCTAAATCCGCCAAAATGGCGAAGCGATATGCCCATAGATGCTGGTGCTCATAGATATTGGCCCTTGTAGATGCGTTGTTTACACTTAATCGACGAAGGAGACGCACATAAAGATATTTCCCCTTCCTATGCGTCTCCTCCACCGTCAAATCCACATTCCCTTTCCATTTTATTCTAATAAGAGTACGGATGGGAAGGAAAAGAGAGGGTTGGACCTTTTACTACACAGAATCAGAGATAAATGCAGCAAAAGGTTAGCGTGGTATGGACATGTTATGCATAAGACATAAACCAGAAAGTGTTAAGAATGAATGTGGATGGCTACAAAGGAAGAGGAAGACCGAAGAAAGTATGGATTGTGGGAAAGAGGATATGCTTAAGAAAGGAGTGGTTTCAGATATGATGTATGGAGCACATACTGTGCCGACCCTTTATAATGATAAGGGCAAGTTGATGATGAGATAACAAAGTGTGTACTTGTGTGTTGGGGGTGGGCAGTCTTGGCCATCAACTTGGCCACCATGTCCTGCACGCGGCGCATCTCCTCCAGCTGCGCCGTCACCTGGCACAGCCGCGCCTCGCGCTCCACCACCGTCTTCTCCAGCTGCTTTATTGTCTGAAATAAATTAAACAACTAAAATGTATGTAAATGCTGCCACTGATCTCTATAAATGGATAGGTGATTGTTTTGAAACGCGTCTGTTGTGAATATTTGATTTTCTATCTCATTTGATAAATTAATCCTCAAAGCTAACATCAATACAAGTCAAATATCCATTAAATACCACGTCGAATAGAAATGGATAGCATTTGAGGAGGTATAAATTCAAATATAAGTGTACAGTGAGAGCAGCAGCTATAGTGCGCAGCATACAGTGCTCAGTGCGCAGTGTACAGAGCGCAGTGCACAGTGCGCAGCATACAGTGCTCAGTGCGCAGTGTACAGAGCGC